CCCTGGATCCCGGGAATTGCCCCTGGATCCCGGGAATTGTCCCTGGATCCTGGGAATTGCCCCTGGATCCCGGGAATTGTCCCTGGATCCTGGGAATTGTCCCTGGATCCCGGAAATTACCCCTGGATTCTGGGAATTGTCCCTTTATTCTGGGAATTGCCCCTGGATCCTGGGAATTGTCCCTGGATCCTGGGAATTGTCCCTTTATTCTGGGAATTGTCCCTTTATTCTGGGAATTGTCCCTTTATTCTGGGAATTGCCCCTGGATCCCGGGAATTGTCCCTTTATTCTGGGAATTGCCCCTGGATCCCGGGAATTGTCCCTTTATCCCGGGAATTGCCCCTGGATCCCGGGAATTGCCCCTGGATCCCGGGAATTGTCCTTTTTTCCCAGAAATTGTCTCTTTGTCCTGGGAATTGTCCCTTTATCCCAGGAATTCCCTTTTCCCTGGAATTTTCCCTTTTCCCTGGAATTTCCCTTTTCCCCCAGAATTTTCCCTTTCCCCTGGAATTTTCTCTTTTCCCTGGAATTTTCCCTTTTCCCTGGAATTTCCCTTTCCCCTGGAATTTTCCCTTTTCCCTGGAATTTTCCCTTTCCCCCAGAATTTTCCCTTTTCCCTGGAATTTCCCTTTTCCCTGGAATTTTCCCTTTTCCCCCCGAATTTTCCCTTTTCCCCGGAATTTCCCTTTCCCCCGGAATTTCCCTTTTCCCCCCGAATTTTCCCTTTTCCCCGGAATTTCCCTTTCCCCCGGAATTTCCCTTTTCCCTGGAATTTCCCTTTCCCCTGGAATTTCCCTTTTCCCTGGAATTTTCCCTTTTATCCTGGAATTTTCCCTTTTCCCCCGGAATTTTCCCTTTTCCCCGGAATTTTCCCTTTTCCCTGGAATTTTCCCTTTTCCCTGGAATTTTCCCTTTCCCCCAGAATTTTCCCTTTTCCCTGGAATTTCCCTTTCCCCTGGAATTTCCCTTTTCCCTGGAATTTCCCTTTCCCCTGGAATTTCCCTTTTCCCCGGAATTTTCCCTTTTCCCTGGAATTTCCCTTTTCCCCGGAATTTTCCCTTTTCCCCCGGAATTTTCCCTTTTCCCTGGAATTTTCCCTTTCCCCCAGAATTTTCCCTTTTCCCCCGGAATTTTCCCTTTTCCCTGGAATTTTCCCTTTTCCCTGGAATTTCCCTTTTCCCCGGAATTTCCCTTTTCCTGGAATTTCCCTTTCCCAACCAGGGGCTGCGGCGGTTCCGGCTGCTCCACGGGGGTCTCGCTTTGCTCCGGGAATTTTGGGATGGGGTCACGGAGCTGGGGCTGCACCAGAGCTCCCAAATCTGCACGGGAAGGTTGGGATGAGATCTGGGAATTCCCGGGATTTGGGAATTCTGGAAAGGTTTGGGATGGGAGGAGCTTTAGGAGCATTCCCGCCATCCCAAACTTGGGCACTTCCAAGGATGGAATAACGAAATATCCCAATGAGATTGAATATCCCGGGGAAATAAATTAAATATTCCAACAAAATTAAATATCCCAGAAAAAGAAAAAAAATTGCCCACTCCAATAAAATTAAAAACCCAATAAAAAGTAAAATAAAATAAAATAAAATGAAATGAAATAAAATAAAATAAAATAAAATAAAGTAATAAAATAAAATGAAATTAAATGAAATGAAATGAAATAAAATGAAATAATAAAATAAAATGAAATAAAATGAAATAAAATGAAATAAAATAAAATGAAATAAAATAAAATGAAATAAAATAAAATAAAATAAAATAAAGTAAAATAAAATAAAATGAAATAAAATAAAATAAAATAAAGTAAAATAAAATAAAATAAAGTAAAATAAAATAATAAAATGAAATAAAATGAAATAAAATGAAATAAAATAAAATAAAATAAAATAAAATAAAATAAAATAAAATAAAATATTTTTTTTTTTAAAATGTGAAAGACAATATTCCAGTAAAACCAAAATATCCCAATAAAATCAAACACCGCAATGAATCAAAACCAGTAAAACCAGTTTCCCCAGCGCTCACCTGAGGAGTCGCTGCCACTCCTGGGCTGGTCCCGGATCCCTGTGACAGAACAGACCCAAAATCTGCATTTTCCACCCCAAATCCCCTTCGGCAAACCCCAAATCGGAGCGGCCGAGCCCCAGTTCGGGTTTGGAGCGGGAAAAACCCAAAAGGCCAAAAATTTGTGTGAGCAGGAAAGGGCAGAGGTGACCCCAAAGAGGAATTTCAGGTCAGGTGGGAAATTCGGGATGAATTCGGGGGATTTTGGGATGAATTTGGGGGATTTTGGGATGAATTCGGGGGATTTTGGGATGAATTTGAGGGATTTTGGGATGAATTCGGGGGATTTGGGGATGAATCTGGGAGATTTTGGGATGAATTTCGGGGATTTTGGGATGAATTTGAGGGATTTTGGGATGAATTTGAGGGATTTGGGGATGAATTTCGGGGATTTTGGGATGAATTTGGGGGATTTGGGGATGAATTTGGGGGATTTTGGGGATGAATTTGAGGGATTTTGGGGATGAATTTGAGGGATTTGGGGATGAATTTGGGGGATTTTGGGATGAATTTGGGGGATTTTGGGGATGAATTTGGGAGATTT